GTTATTTGTTTTTCTGGCTGAAACAAACAATGTTTCTGTGAACATTTTAGTATCTATGTGCTGGTCGCATCAGCAGTTTGTCTACAAATAGAATTTTTTGGTCTTAGGTGAAGCATACCTTCATCTTCCCGGGATTAGTTCCCAAATATTTTCCAAAATGGGTGTTAGAATATTTACTATGGGAAAAACAGATTTAGTTGTTTTGCCCCATTCCCATCAAGCATACTTTTCCTTCCAATTTATATGCATCATAGTTTTGGTTAAAATAATCTTATTTAGCATAGATATGAAACATATCCAAGTCATATAGCTATGAACATATCCATCTATTTATCTATTTATATATGTGTGTATATGTATATATATATATATATATTATACAGCTACATATTCCCATGAATATGATCCAATGTACCAGGCAATGTCTGTTCTGTTTTCTTCTTAGAGATAGACTTCCTCTGCTTTTCTGCTCCTAGCCAGACTGACAGTCTCATAGGCTAAAGAGAACTTTCCCCTGTCATCTTGGGAACTGATTTTGATTCTTTCCTCCACTAGCTTCCCCTGTTTCCTGGATTCCTTAACTTCCTTCCTTGTGTGCTGAAGCACACTTTGGTAGAGTAATTTCACATTCTAATTTCCTCAATTTTGACCTTTGAAAAACTTTTTTATTGTGTTTAAATTTGCTGCCCCAAGCACATTTTAAGGTTTTAAGCAGGCTTCTTGATTCTGGAGTGCTTCTTTTGTTCATTCAGCATCTGGTTTTGCTTCTTGTTTCTTATTGCTCTGAGAAAATTAATGATAGTTTTGTTGATTTTTTTTTCTTTTGCTCCGGCACTTTTTCTGTTTCCTCAATCTCCCCACTTCCCCCCCCCCCTGTTTGTTTCAGCTTCTGTCTTCCATTTCAAAGTTTCCTAAAATGTCTCTTGGCTTTTACCTACTTATTTATCTTTAAAAATATGGCATTAAGGGACAAATTGGAAATTCTATGTATGTGGGTGGAATGAGACAGGGCATAACTCATTTTGGTGAAAATTCCCCTTATCCTCAGTGTTGACATCTGTAGGATTTTTTTCCCCTTGGATTTTTTATGTCCTTGGAACAGAATCTTCATTTTCTTGCCTGGGACATACAAGGCTACTAATCATTGATAGTATGGATCAGAGCTGGAGATCTCACTGTCTATGAGTCAGGTCTTTGCTGATTGCCTGGTTCCAGTAAGGGGCCACGTTTCTACCTTCTGCTATCCTTGCTGTGACCAAGTCCAATCATACATAATCTGGTACAGATTATCTGGAAATAAAAAAACCACCTTCTTTTTTTTTTTAGTATATGTTAAACTTTTAATTAAGTCCTTTTATTTTTGACCCCACTTCAGTCTGGTGTGTTCAAAGATGTCTGCTACATCTGGTTCCTGAGTGCATTCTGGATCATGGAACATGTTAGCCTAACTCACAGGTGGACACCTGGTAGAGGAAAGCAGAAGCCAGAATAGCTGTCCCTTATCTATCTGGTTGTCCTCTTACAGAATTTGGCTAGCATTTCTGCTTGGCTGGTGTCTTCTCTTTCATCCCTGTCCTTGTGAGTTTATACCTTTTACTTTTTCCCCTCATTTTAGTGGAGTTATAGCAGGTGAATAAAAAAATATGTTTAATCCACTGTCTTTATATAAGTTAATTCTTCTCTAGCACTAAGGTGACACATGCATTCATACTACATGTGTACCTCACAATCAGCTCCAGGTAAGGTCCCCATTGTTTGTCTAGTCACCACCTTCCAACGTCAGGTTTCTGTTACCATTGTACTCAGATTCTCAGCCTACACCTTTGATTTGCTTCTCCTTCCCCTTTGGCTTTAATGACACTGGTCTTCTTTGTTCCTTCTAGTCTCTTCTGAACTCTTCTCTGTCCATTCCTTTTGCATTTGTGATCTATAATATTTTATTCACTATCTCTTCTTTCTTTTTTTCTATTCTAGCTTTTCTTTGAGCCTCTCTCTTGGATTTTGGAATACTTGCATATGCATAATACAATATCTTGGGTTTAGGGCCCAAGTTCAAGCAGGAGACCTGTTTATGTTTCATTTACACCTCATACACATAACTTGAAGATCATTTTTTAGTAGCATATATAGTAGTATATTTGGTGGTCTGAGTTTTGACTGCAACCTGTTACATGAGATCAAGTATGGAGTTTTCCATTTGTGGAATGATGTCAGTGCCCCAAAAGTTTTGGATTTTGGAGCATTTTGGATTTCAAATTTTCTAATGAGAGATGCTTAACCTGTAATAATTTCATTCTGCTTTGCATATAGTAAACACTAAAATAAGATTTGGAAATGAAATGGATAATCCTCAAATATAGTTTCAGTCTTTCCCCTTTGTTTATGGTACAATAATGGTTAAAGAGTGAAATGCTCCCAAAGTAGCAACCAGAGAAAGACATTAAGAGGCCATGGCAACTACCATCCAGATAATTGACCTTGGGAACTTCAATGTCTGTCTGTACATTTGGTTCTTCACACAATGAAACATACCAACAACATAGTCTAAAGACAAGAAATGTAGCATTTTAATAATTTTCATATTTCTTTGATAATTGTATGTTTAACATAAATAATGTCCACTGTTACATCTCTATTTCCTTTAAATACTTATTCAATATCTAATGAGTTAGTGCCTGCACAGTGAAAAATAAGCTATTTTTTAAACAAATTTTATTGGTTTGGTTTACATAATAAGGAAACAGCAACTACAATAGTTGCCACTTTAAATGACCACGGGGGGTGGGGGGACAAAATATATAATTATTTTACATGGTTATATTACAATTTTATAAAGTTAGCTACAGCATACCCATGTTCTGCTATAAACTGTATTCCTTTGGCCATGTGTAAGCTGTTAATATTAAAAGGTGTCTGAAATTATACCCATGTTAGCAGTGAGTAATAAGGAAGAAAACAGGTTAAAATCACTTGCAAATCTCTTAGCTATAAGATCCATGTTAACACCATTTTTGTTGTTATATTAAATAGTTCTTTATACTAGAAAACTTGCTTTAAAGTCAGAGTAGCACTTTTCTATCTTAGTTTTCATCATGCAAAGAAATCATGATTGTTTGTAACCACCCTTTATCAGTATGTCAAAATTTTGAACAATTTTTTTTGAAAAGCTACTGAATATCATTTTATTACAAATAGTGCATAAGTCTTCTTAGTTTCAGCTTTAAGACTAGGCAAGATGATACAAATCGGGATTCTGACATAGAGAAGGAACAGCATTGGAGTGTAAACGAGAAGGGTATTAGGATATAAAATCTCAGTAAATGGTAATAAAATGATCTAAAATTGAAACAGGAAAAAAAGATCTATTCATAAACTGTGAAGACAATTAAATGGCCCAAAGTTGATTTAAAGTTGAAAATCTGAAATGTCTTTTATGATGACAGGCATTTGAAAAAGTGATTGAGAAGAAATTAATAAACAAATTTGCAAAGATAATCCATGTGGCATTGAACTAATTATTTAATTATTGCCCCCTCTCTTTTTTTTGCCACATTATTGAGTTTCGGCTTATTGTATTGTCACATTGGATTCTGGCAGAAAACAACATTCCTAGCTTATTTCCAACATGTGGCCTGACTTCCTAAAAGAAATAAATTGGAAATTCTGTTATATTTTAAGACAGAAAGCTCTTGGGCCCAATTTGTTCCTGAAGTCGCTCTGAGAACACTGAACTGTGTTCTGCTGGAACAGAATCAGGACCTTTCGCATTGATGTGACGGGGCCATGACGAACTCCAGGCTCTGAATGGGAATCGGTCCCCATGGGTTTCCTCCCACCCCATCTCATTTCCTCTCTCTGCCATTTTCTCTTGTACATACTTTCAAACACAACTCATCCCAAATTAATCTAAGGCACTTTGCTGCAGAGATTAAAAAATTAGATCAGAATGCACAAAGTGAAGGTTTTTTTACACTCTTAAAAAGAAGTTTTGCCTTCTGGTGATAGAAAAGCACCACGTCAAGAACACCTTTCTGTTGGTTATTAAAAAAAAAATTAAAAAGTTAGTAATAAGCCTCACAGGTAGCTGTTAAATTGGTTAATTTGTATGATTTTAGAAAGTAATATTCTAAGTATACTTAGAGCTAGAGATCATTTTGACCAAAGCAAGGAGGGAGGCACGGTGCGCCTTGCTCTTTTGCTGTGTGGACACTGCGCCAGGCAATTCACATTTTGTCCGTTTTGGGGTCACTGGAATCTCCATTGTAAAGCTATGAACACAGGGGCCTGCCCCTTGTGTAATCATCTACATGTAGTGTGTGTAGTTAAGTATTTACAGATGACAAAAGTAAACAAATAAACTACCATACCGAAGGAAGAATATGCAGTAATCCTGAAAAAACTGTAGGTGGTATTTTCTTTGTAGATCATGTGACTGGGAGATTTTAAAGTCTTCTGTGATAACAGTTCAAGCCTTCTCTTTCTTTCCTGACATTTGATTTCATTTCAATGCAAAGAATGTAATGATTTTTAAAAACTTACCCTTGATCTCTCTCTCTCTCTGATACTCTCTCCTGATCTCCTAAATATTTCTATCATGCAAAAAATAAACTAGCTAAACTCTTTTCATTTTGCATTCACTTACAGTTTGACCAAAGATGTGATGCCATTCATTAGAAAGTTGCTTATTAAAGGATTTTTTAAATTTTCAAATTGAGCAACTGAAACTTTACTTAAAAATATGTCTTACATAATAAGTGGCACATTTTTCCTTTATTCAGACCAATCTGATTTAAAAATAAACCTCTTTACCAGGAATTATGAGTGAGCTCATTTTAAAATCTAAGGTGTGTATGAGTATACTAAAAACAATTAATAAGAACTACCCTGAAGTGCTAACTGTAAAAAATTAAGTGCTTTCACAATGAGGCTTTCCTTAATTCTCACTGATTTTCTTCTCATATTGTAAACAGCTCATAAAATGTCAGGTGTAAGGATGAGTGTTAAAATAACCCTGCTTACGTTTTTACATGGTTTTGTACCAACGTACAGATTTTTGTTTTGTTTTGGCAAATGTTTCATTTTGTTTTAATGACGTCTGTCCAAAATCAAGAAAATGAGATTAAGTGAATATTCGTTCTTTCAAGATGAGCTGTATTTATTACTGGAACGGAAGTTGTCATATCCATGATCATTGGCTTTGAACTTTAAGCACGACTGCTTTTCCTCCAAGGACTGTTTTTCTTCAAATGACTGGCACCAGCAGCACAAACATGACTACAAAACAAAGCAGCTTGTCATATGTGCACATGACTCTCTGTCCCCACTCTTCCTGCTCTCTAGGGTTGGACTTTCTCTGCAGAACTGGGAGTTCTGGGGCCCTTTATTTCAATGCTCTTTTAATTCCCCCTTAATGAGATATAATTATATTAGTGGATTCTTATAAAATTTTTCACTAAAAAATATAAAGGAAAAAAAACTATATAATCAAAATTCCTCATGTAAGAAAACTACTCTTAATTCTTGATATATACTCTTGATGACTTGATAAACACAGTATTTGATAAATGTAGAATTTAAAACTTTTTCCCCTTACAAACAGAAATATTATCACATACACGACTGGATGCCGGCAGGTGTTTATGAGTGTGTATTTTGTTTTAATGAGATTGTACTATATGTGTACTCCATGACCTGCTTTTTCTTACTTGACAGTATCATAAACATCTTCCTAAATCAATGAATTTAATATTACTTTGTTATTTTTTTCAGTTGCATTTTTTAGTTGTAGTTGGACACAATACCTTTATTTTATTTATTTATTTTTATGTGGTGCTGAGGATTGAACCCAGGGCCTCATGGTGAGTGCTTTACCACTGAGCCACAATGCTAGCCCCCTCAAACACCTTTTCAATGTTGTTACACAATAAAGCTATGAAGTTGCAGGCGTCTCAGTTGTATTAATTTAGTTTTGTTTTCCTTGGACTTTTTAAAAATCCAAAACTTTGTTCATTCTGTTTGTTTTCTGAGAAACTATAAGAAATTGTGTTGACTGGGCATGGTGGTGCACGCCAGTAATCCCAGTGGCTCGGGAGGCTAAGGAGGAGAGATTGCAAGTTCAAAGCCAGCTTTAGCAATTTAGTGAGGCCTAAGCAATTTAGCAAGACCTTGTCTCAAAATAAAAAATGAAAAATAAATAAAAAGGGATGAGGATGTGGCTCAGTGGTTACGCTGAGGAGAAAGAAAGAAAGGAATTGGGAGATTGGGAGGTTCACTCTTTTCTGTTTTGTATAATGAGGGAGTTGAGAAAAGTTCTTTTTCAGATCTAAAATCTGAGTGGCCAAAGAGTTTTATAAATTGCTTTATTTTTTACAAGGAAGCCAAATTTTTGGCTTCCCAAAATGAAATACCAGGGACAATGGATCATGCCCATCCAAGAGGAGGGCATTTTTTATTGTTGTTTAAGGAGTGAATGGATGGGTGGATGGATGTTACAGTGCCAGCAGCTACATGAGGAACAATGAGACACGCAAAGGAGCAGCACATCTCTGTTGTATAAAACTGGGGAAAAGAAGAGTTGGAACTTGATTCAGATTTCTTTGTTTGACTTGCTATTCTCATAGCCCATGTAAAAAAGTGACTAACATATCATAATATGAATTATGTCTAAATAGTTCAAAATCTACCAAGAATAGAAGAATGGTAGATTTACTTACGTTCAGCTTTTATTTATCATGTGACACCTGTCCCACATCAATGAGTGTAACTTTTATTAATTTTCTGAGCAATTCCATGAGAATAACTGGCTTTGGCAACAGGGAGTGTGGCTGGCTAGGATTTAGAGGCAAAAAATTGACTCGAGTGACTTATAAGCCAAATTCATATTTTAAAAATCACCCTTGATATAATGCAAGGGAATACTAAAGAACAATTTGCCAGATATCTACAGATATAAATATTGATGATTTCAAAGGGTTATACTTGATGTCATGCTACAAAGAGCTTTTTCTTTTGAAATAGTCTCTTACCTTAAAGCAGTTTTTGAATCTTTTGCTCACCAAATACAGAGCAATTGGATTAATGCAGGAATTCAAGGAGGCCATGTTGATGCCAATATAATCCAATACCAATAAAAAGCTGCAAACAGACAAAAACCCATAACATGTCTATGAAAGATGCTGCTCTGAGTATGTGTTCACTGCAGACTTTTGTGTTTTTGTGAGGGGGAAAAATATTGCCTAGATCCAGTGGTTCTGAATTTGTCACTAATTTGCTAGTAACGATCGCTGTCCCTTGCCTCTGTCACTCCTTCGGTGTCTCATCTCCACTGCCCTTTCCCATGGTCCCCTCCCAAGCCCAACTTTCCTTTTTTAAAATACAACTTCATTGGGAAGTGCTGAGGATGGCCGAAAAGAAAGCATTTCCAGTGTCAGGGAAAATCAGCTCTGACATTGTCAGTCTTGCCACTCACTCATCACGCTGTGTCTGTGTGTTCCCAGGGTTGTCCCAGGCCCCCTTAATTCCTCCCCCTCAAACAGGAGTGTAAAATTGGGAGTCTTAATTGCTCCCTACGGACTAAAAAAGTGGTATTTTGTGTGCCTGTGAAAGGGATCGATGAAAACACTCCTGCGTGGCATTTATTTACAAAATGATTTCCATTCCACCTTTCGTACCTCAAAAGTTCGCATCTGTTGGGATCATTCTGATCGTAAATAGTGAGCTTCAAGATCCTGCTGAGGTGAAGGGGAAGCCAACAGAGGGCAAAAACAAGGACCAGGCAAAACACTGTTTTGGCCACTTCTCGTCTCTGAAATAAAACCAGTCAGATCCTTAAACATGAACCTTTTATATATACAGCATACACTCTTCCCAAACAGCATATTTGATATCCCTTAACTAAATTCAGCGATATTTGTAAAAATTTAGAACACTGATTCTTCTTTTGAATAGTTAATATCAATTAGAACTAAAATGATGATGAAAGATTCATCTGTCAAAAGTAATGGTTTCTCTTCTTTTAGATCATATAGACTACTTCTAAATAGATAAAATATAAATATTCCTTATAATAAAAAATAACCTGGAGGAAGAAAATGGTAATGCGCTCTGGCATGTAATTTTAGTTTATTCTCATCAAAATCAGTTTTCATCTCTCTAGTGGTAATGACAGCCACAAGCCATCCAACCTTGGCACCTTCTTACCTGCTTTAGGTGGTCATTCAATGCGATTTGCATGCCGCTCTTCTTTCTCAACATTTCACAGGTCATCAAGGTGTAAAAAAGTGCAGTGATGGCCAATGGCAAGCAGAAGTAGAAACTGAATAGCCACCAATCTTTAGCTGTCTTGTAAAACTATGGGGAAGTGGGAATTTTCTATGGTTAATATTCCTCTTTTTTTTAAAAAAAAATTATATACCAAAAGTTAAACCTAAAAAGAAATTCATCAAGGGGCGATTATCTCCTAAAGTAGATCCATTTTATAAATGCTATATAGAATCTTTAAGTCCACAAATATTTAAGTAATATATTAAGTGAAGCTTTTCTGAACAATATTTCAGTTCTTTGGAAATAGTACAGTGTGATTATGCATAAAATTTAAATAGCTGGACCAAATTTGAAATAAATGGTGATTCAGTGTTTCATCTTTACATAGATTATAGTTAAGAGTATTATTTGTGTGAAATATTATATCTGAATGTGTAACAATATCCTAGTATTTAGGGGAAGTTTTAACTTTTTATTGTGTTTAATGGGAGAAACTGACATGAAAAGGTCTATGTTAACCATTTGGGTAATAAAATGTATAAATCAAAGCTCTCAAAAACTCAAAGTGCTCATGAAATGTTTTTTTCTCTTGTTCTTTTTCTGCTCTGTTATCTTTTTTTAAAAAAATACTATTATTCCACATATATTTGTGTTGGAGAATATCTTATATAACTGATACAGCACTTTTCCCTCTTTTTACTAATAAATAAGTAATAATCTTATTCTCAATTTCACATTAATGTCCTTTTAAAATTATTTTATTTACTATGATATACACAGATAAATTTTATATAGTATTATTGTATATAAAATAGAAAATAATTTTTGGCTATAGTTAGATCAGCCCCTTTGCATATTCTCTTAATCCATTCTGTTGAACAGGGTCTTTATATTTAGGATCGGTCTTTTAGAGACTGGTGTCATCAATCTTTTCCTATTTCCCAATCAACCCAAAATTAAACTAGGTGTGGTGGTACATCCCTATAATCCCAGTACTCAGGAGACTGAGACAGAAGGATCACAATCTCCAGGCCAAGCCTGGGCAACTTACTGAGACCTTGTCTTAAAATAAAAAGTAGAAATGGCAAAAGGGCTCTGAATCTTTAGCTCCATCGAAGAAAGCTTAAGCCCTGGGTTCAATCCCCAGGACTGAAAACTACAACTACAAAGCATTCTTCAAAAATGGCCAACATGAAAAATTCTTTGCAAAGGTAGCTTCCCTTTAGCATCAGAGACAGAGAGCAGGTTTGCTGTTTCTAACACACCCATATTAGGCATCTTCTTTTGAACATTTGCAGAATCATCCATTCCTCCAATGCTTATGCAGATATGTAAAGTGGTCAGTCCTTGTATGGTTTTAAGTGGAAACACCATAAACTCATATCATTTCTCATGTGAACTTGGTTTATTTGTATCTCTGAGATTTAGGGTGTTCTGGGAAAAGCTCTGATCTCAATTCTTGCACTTGGGTCATTAGTCAATGTTAACCCACAGTACTGGGATCTATACTCTTAATTGATGCCAAGGACAGTCATAAATCAATAGCTGCTCAAGGAAGGGGAACTGGGAAAAAATATCCATACATTTTATAAGGCCGGAGCAGAAAGTGGGGGTGGAGTAAAATTTACCTGCATGAAGGTTGTTTTCTGAATGGGATGAAGCAAGCAGATTCGCAGACGACTCCCTTTGTAGTCCATTGTAATCAGATCAAAACCTATGGCTTCGGGGATAGCCAGAACCACAGAGATCACCCAAATTAAAACAATTTCTACTGCTGTCCATTTTGGAACTCCTATTCCTTTAATTCGGCTCCAAGAAGCAACAGCTCGATATCTGAAGATGAAAATGGAATTGTTTTTCAAGCTGGTTGGTTTTATTGAATTACATAGTTTATTGTCTAAGTAACTTAGCCAACAGTATTATGGTGTTTAGGATAAACTTGACTTAAAAATAAATTCCTACCTGTCAATACTTAGAGCACAGAGACTCAGCACAGTGATTCCCACGGAGGCTTTCTGTATGAAAGGCACCAGCTTACACATCTCAGCTCCAAATGGCCAGTCCTCTGCCAGCAGCTGCATTGGGGAAACATGGAGCTCTGTTAGGGAGGCTTTCACAAGACGCTCTCTGAACTACATTACTTAGTGCAGAGTAATTAACATGCAAGAGGAAGATAAGACATCTCAGCGCTCATTCTTTTTCTCACGGACTATGCCTTTGAAAAGCACTCGTGTTTGATATATGGAAGGGGAGAATGTGTGGGGAATAATAAAATGCAGCCAGCTTATGAGAATTCATCATGCATACACAATAGCTTGGTCTGAATCCCCTCTGCAAGGCCAACTGGGGGCCCTTACTTAAGTTTCCCTTAGAAAATTGAAACAGCATATTGTCATAGAGTCTCAAAGCTCAGGTTATGGCCAATTAAAATACAGGTTAATTAAGAATAATGATAAATTTTCTAAAGCTGAGGAGGCTAGACTACCCCCATGGAAACGTACTCTGGAGAATAGTGTGTTCATTCATGCACTTGTTCATTACCAGTGACTACTCACCGAGTATTCACACTGTTCCTTGACACATTGGGCACAATCCTACCTACTTCAGGGTGTTTGCTCTAAATCTTTCCTTATCCTGGAAGGCTTTTTCCCCATAGACCCACTTGGCTAAATCACATGCCACCCTTGCCCTGCTTTTAGGACCTGCTCTTTTCAATGTGACTGACCCTCACTACACTATTATAGTAACCAGCTGGCCCTCCCTTACCTTCTCCACTTTTTTTTTTCATCCATAGCACTTCCCAACTCTTACTACATTTAACATTTGCCTATATGTTTCTTTAGTTTTTTTCTGTCTGATTCCCTGGAGTCTAAGACAGAATATCAGTTCCATAATTGCTTAGAATAGTGCCCGACACACAGCAGCCGTTCAGTAAATATCCTTGCCTCTAAAATATGTAGGCACAGCAATACAATGAATGAAAAGACACAGTTTTTGCTTGTGTGTGTTTCTCTTTATTCTAACTGTAGACTATGTAACCTTCTATTATTAAATGTGGTTATTTTCTTTCTTAGGATATGGGTGTGTCCCCCGCTAACAATTGAATCACTTTAGGTAAACATCTGGACGGAATATTCACGAGGTTTTGAAAATAAAGGAAAATATCTCAAATCTATGAGGTTGTTTTTTTTTTTTTAAATAAGGTTTTCCAAAATAACCTTCCAAAAGTGAAAACTGTTTTGAAACACAATTGGTTGTTTCTGTCTTTTCAACAGTTACGAAAACTCAACTGAGTTTGTCAAGCGAGGTTGATTGTTCTTTAACTAGAATGGCCAAAGGCTAATATGCATGTCTAATTATGAATATGGCTTAGAGATGGAATACAGGACAGGTTTCATTTCTAAATGAGACAGGAAAGATTACACAAATACATGGGACAGATGTTGGAGGACTTACCACATATGTGCTTACTGTAGGCCCTGACAACCTGCAGGGCCAGGCAGATTAACACAAGGCAATAAAGAGAGCCAGGTGTAAGCATGCCATCAGTGTCAGGAAGGCAACAGGGAGTGGTGGAGTCTGGGGTAATCCAGGTCAGAAAGGAGCAACTCTAATAGACAAGCTCTAATAGGTCCCTCTTTTCTAAGGACCCCCCAATACAAAAATCTATTGATTTTTCAAAAGAAGCCAGAAGTTGTTGTAATTTTTATATGAAATTTCACAATTAATAAAAGCTGTCAACTAATTCCTAATTTAAACTAATCTGAAACACTGTTACACACTGTTGTATTAACAAAATAGAACCGTGAGCCAGACTATTTTCCATCTTATGACTTTTAGATTAAACAGTTGACTCATAACTCTGCTTAATTCACTCAACTAATATTTATTGAGTATTCACTATGAGCCAAAGAGCATTTGGAATAGAGGATACATATCAGTGATTAAGGCAAACCCCCTGCTTAGTCTGGGGAGGGTGGCAGACAAAAAAACAAATACTTGATACAGTGTCACACAGAAGCTGTCATATTAAGAGAGTGGTGGTGGGATTTGAGGTGCTTCCTTGATAGGCTTCCTAGTAAGGTCTCTTGGAGGAGATACCATCTGAGTAGGGACTTGACCAAAATAAGAGAGTAAGACATGCAAAGGGCATGCTAGACAGCAGATAGAACATGTGCAAAGGCCCTGGGGGTAAAACAAGACTGGTGGACTGAAGTGGAAGCAAGAAGGTTCTCAAGGCTGAAACAGAGTGACCCAGGCCAAGTATATAAGAAATGAAGTTGGAGAGAGAGAAGGAGTTGTATTTTTTTTTTAAACTGAGGATTGAGAACAGGAGTGCTTTACCACTAAGCTACAACCCCAGTCCTTTTCCATTTTGAGACAGGGTCTCTCTAAATTGCTGAAGCTGGCCTCAATCTTTACAATCCTCCTGCCTTAGCCTCCTGAGTTGCTGGAGGTCTATACCACTACATCCAGCCCTGAATGCTTTTTTGAGGAAATTCATGATAATGTTTGGAGTAGGGAAATAGCATTACATTATTTCCCCTTTTTAAATGGTCACTGTGACTGCTTAGTATAGAAAAAAATGTAGAGTCAAAAAAGAAGCATTGGTGGCAGGCCGGACCATGTGGTGCCTTTATAACTGAGCCCCCCAAGTGAAATTAATAGAAGGTTTTCTTTCTTAAGAGGCTTGGTCCATTCTCCCTCCCTAGTTAATGAATCCCCAAATCATATTCATGTGCCCAATGTACAGCAAACACCAAACATCAAACACTGGGCAGAGCACATTCTTCCTTTCCTAAGCTGATCAGACCTTGAACACATACTCTCTGTTCCCATTCTTATCAATTATCAATTATCATTAACAAGCTTGGTATCTTTACTGCAGAAGAATGAGCTAACAGGGTCACAGAGTGATTTTATAAACTTGATTTGCCAAACTATAGATTGCTCATCGGTTCACCAGATGTCCACTAGAGTCAAGAAAACTACACACCCTGGTTTTATTGAAACTTGTGAAACTACCAGTTTCTGCCTTTTGTGCTCTTTTCCCTTGTATAACCCACAATTATACTTGCTGGGGGAAGGTGGATCTGACTTTCCCTCAACCTTTTTGATTGATACCTTCTCAATTAAACTTTCTCTATTCCAAACTCTGGTGTTTGATGTTTGGTGCTTGCTATACATTGTGCACATGAATATGATTTGAGGGTTAACTGGCAAGTTTTGTTGAGCCAGCCAGGAGTGTTGTACCCATGGTGAACTGACCCTAATACCATGGACATCTGGAGAGCCCCTCAAGTGCTAAGGTACTGTTTGTCCAGGGGATTTCTCCAGACTGTCTTCTGTAACGACCAGTCACTTTTGGTGCACAACCACTTGAAGCAGAGAAACTCATGAGTTTCATAACTTTTGTCCCTTTTTCTTTTCTTTAAGAAAAAAATTTTTTTGTGGTGCTGGGGATGGAATATGAGGCCTTATGCATGCTACACCTCCCAGCCCTTGGTTTCAATTTGAAACTGTTGAGTGAGTTGCCTTGGGACATGTGGCTACAAAATTCTTTCTTTCCATTTTTATTCAATTTCTTGGATTTCATGTATAAGGATCCCCTGGGAAAATTTAATAGAGGAACCCTTGCTTAATAGGCTTTAGGCTTAGGAGAAAAATGGCCCATAAATAGGACCCTAAGCTATTATACCTTCTGACAATTAGAAGTATTTTGTAAGAGAGAAGGCAAATGGGAAGGCTTCCTGTTACTTTATCAAAGTGGACCTGCTTGGTGCAGATGTAAAATCATCATTCAGCAGGCAAAAAAACTTAAGCTTGTCGTCGCTGATACAGAATGGGAGAAAGATAGAGAAAAATCTTTAAATGTTTTAAGTCCACAAATGGCTCTGCTATCACAAGCTCCTCAACTGGTGGTTGCAGACACTCCATCCCCTAATGGGAGCATATAGTAACAGAGAAATTATTCAGAAGGGAGGAAAAGTCTATAATGGTTTTCTCTCCTATACCCATGAGGGCACTTAATTTGGCCTAACCCACACCTAACCCTGGAGATGTAACTCAGTGGTAGAGCACTTGCATTTGTGAGGTCCTGAGTTCCATCCCTAGCAACACACACACACACACACACACACACACACACACACAAATTAAGAAGCCCACGCTCTCCCTCCCTTAGATTTAATATGATTTCTCCTTATATCACTAGAGGAGCCTTAACTACAAATGACAGGGAGGATCAAATTAATCTTATGATAAAAGAAGGAAACTTATTCTGTAATTAACACATGCCTATCTCCTGATTTAAAAAACCATATGATTGTAACTGGCTATCAGGGGAAGCCTTTTTCGTAGCCTTTGGAATGCCACTTTGGCAACATGAACTTAAAGCACAGCTTTCTATCTATGCCGGAATGCCTAGCAAAACTGAATGTACAGGTAACTTTTCTCAAAAGATGGGCTAGAAATAGCTATTTCACCTGAACATGCCTGATATTGATAACTGGCTGGATAACCAACTATTGCTACAGAATAACTTGAGGACTCCTTGGAGGTACCAGAAGATATCGTGAACTGGGTATGAAAGAGGAAGTATGGGTGGACAGGAAGTCAGAATGTTCCTGGATCACACACATGTCTGGGAGCTCCTAAAGAAAGACCATGAAATATCTAATTTCAAATAATATCCCTTACAAAAGAGGAAAATGTAATATGATTATTTCTGATGGCCTTTTTAAGTTAAGGTCTAATATGACCATGCCATTCCCTATATAATATCCCTAGCCTTCCAGTGAAATGGCCGAATTCTGAAGAATGCCTGTAGAGGCCCGCAGGGCCTAAAATAACATGGTGCAGAATCTATACTCAGTTCTTCCCAACCCTTGCACTCTCTTGGTTCACTGTACTAGGCTGAAAGGATGACTTTTTCTACATCCCACTAGAAGAAAACTCTTAAAGAGTTATTGGTCTTTGAATGGCAGATCCCAAACCACAAGCCAAACAAAAAATTTGTTACGTTGTGCTTCCACAAGGGTTTAAGAACTCTCCCACAATCTTTAGGGAAATACTA